GAATTGATTGCAGAGTGGAAATAAAGACAGATGGGATAACGGGAAAAGTTACTTAGATCAACAAAATATAGAAAGATTTGTTTATATTCTGAGATGAATTATTGTAACTATTTACAGTTTTTCTCATCTTTATTGTCATCTTCATGACTTTTCGGCTGATGTGGCCTTCATCAGGATTTGCCTATATTTCTGAGATGAGGTATTGTAAATATTTAGACTATTTACGTTGTTCTGACTGTTGTTCTCATCTTTATTGTCATCTTCACGACGTTTTGGCCATTGTACTCTCCGGCCTTCATCAGGATTTTCCTATATTTCTGAATTGAGGTAATGTAACTATTTAGACTATTTACATTGTACAGACTGTTGTCCTCATTTTTATTCACGACGTTTCTACCGTTGTACGCTCCGGCCTTCTTAGGTGATATACGTTGGAATTTCGAAACGAACCCTTTATTTTAGCCACTAGGGCCCAGCAGCTTCTCCACGTGCTCATGATTGATTAATTATTTTCCGCCCTACAACCACTTTCCCACAGACGAAACATGGCAGGCCTCTCGCTGCTCTATCGCTCTTTCCATAGAAAGTGTTCAGATGAACTACATTCTTTAGTTCCGCCAGTTCTAAGACGCACCATGCCCTGCACATTTTAACGAACGACCCTCATTCCTTTCCTATTCTATTGGTGAGAAGTAAGTTCCACTCCAGCAGCGTCTTCCCACGATTTGTGTAACCGGCTCCCAAGAGGATGCTTCCTCGATTACAACAATATTAACCAGTTCAAGTATATCAACATATCCGCATAAACTGTGGTTCTTAATCTGTAATTCTCTACCTGGAGTGGCCCTTCGTACAGGATGAACATTATTGTAAAAAAAGATTTTAAAAAAATACCGAATTCCAGGATATTAGCATGGACAACTGTTTAAGAGGGATTTTATCTTTTATTCAAAATCGATATTTCTAAAATCTTTCTCATAGCCTTAAACTTTTTAAGAGGTTTAGCGATCTTCAAACCAATTTTATTCTGTTGTGAAAGAGGGCATCGAGTAGTAATAAACGAGGTTCTTGTTGGGAAAACCTTTAAGAAATTGGATTTACCATTTTCAAAAGAAATCATTCGCAACGCGTCGAGGAATTTTTTATATATTTTAATAGAAAGAACAATTCAAGAAGGAAGGAAATATACTTGCATGCACATAGAAATCAGAAAAAGGAAGAAAAAATATTTTATGTCGTAGTTGTTGGAAAATGTGAGTGTGTGATGTGCCACTTAGCTAGGTTTGGAGTTTAGTAGCCGGTCAACTGAGGAAAGAAACTTACCTGAAGGCATCGAGATACATCCAATGCAAAGCGTATTCTAGACTGAAAAGAGCTAAAGAGGGAGAAATAGTTTATGTCTTTCCTGTTATAGTCCTGGGTAGAAATCCCTATCGGGCGTCTATGGTAGACTAGATGAGGGTAATACTTTTTGAAATCAATTTTATGTGGTGATCTACTACACAGAATTGTATAAATCTAGATTTTACAAACACATATTTGGTCTACCTGCACTGGTATGGAATATGAAAAAAACTTCAGTATCTGTCTATATTTCTGAGATGAGGCATTATGTACATTATTTACATTATTCGGACTATTGTCCTCATCTTTGTCGCCATATTTATTACAATATTTCGGCCGTTGTACGCTCCGACCTTCTTCAGGTGGTTGGAATGTCGAACTGAACCCTTTATTTCGCTCGCTTAGGTAGACTGTTCTAGTTCCACGTGTCATGTCTAATGGATGTCAGTTATCTCCAAGTTCTCCACTGCCTTAACCGGGTATTGAACTCACACTGTTTGGGTCCTGTCACTGGATCTAACCAACGCCTTTATCCACTGTGCCATGTGTCGAAGAATTCCGTTTCTATTTTCTAATACACGCAATGGCTATATTTATTAATAATGATCTGTTTTTTTTTAATCGTACTATGAATCAGAGACTACACCGGATGCAGCATTTAATGTTTCGTTTTAAATTTAACAATGATTCTTTTTTATTCACTATTGATCGTGTTGTAAGATATGCTTAATGAGAAAAAATCGCTTAGATTTTTAGGAAGGGGAAAATTTGAAAAAAATTAAAATTTGATCAAAAAATTTCACTGCATTTGTATGGTTGAACAACTCAATTAACGCGTGCACGCCCAACAGCAAAAGAATATTTTAAATTGGCTTGTCCCAAGATGTGCTATCATTGGTGCAAACAC